GCCTGGATGAGGTGGCAGCGCAGCACCCGCGGGTGGCCCCGCTCGGGGACTCGCAGCTCCAGGTGGATCTCGCCCTGCACCTCCTGGTCGGGGTTCACCGGTGCCAGGCTGAGCCAGCTGTCAATGCCTGCCGAGGGGGACAGCGTGGGCACCCCGTGGTGCCAGCGTGGGTCCCGCTGTCCCCCACCCTGCCGTGCCCCCCACTCACCCCGCGGCTCGGCCGAGATCTGCTGGTGGCTGAGCGAGACCTTGCCGATGACATCGTCCTGCCTGTGGGGGAGCAGACACAGCAGGACACTGTGTGTGCACCTCCCTTGAGGACAGCCCAGGACACGCAGGGTGGCACTGCCCCATCCTGGTAGGTGCTAACCTGTGGTCACCCAGACCCCACACAGGGGGGTACAGAGGTGCCCTGTCACCCCTCGGGGGTGTCCCCTGCCCGTGTCGTCCCCCTACCCGATGGTGTCTTCATCCAGCACGTAGATGGCGAGGCTGTGGAATCCCCGGGGCAGAAGCAGCGTGATTTCCTCACCCCAAAAAGGGTTCAGGCTCTTCCACACCGTGGCCGTCCTGGCGGGATGGCAGAGGTGGCTGCGAGCCAGGGCAGATCCCCCACTCCTGCGTGTCCCCTCCCAGCGTGGGATGGTGTCCCCTTACCTTACCTGGCCACCACCTCGTTGTCCACTTTGACCACGCAGTAGGGATCGCTGGAGCCGGACCTGGGCAGGGGATGGCGGTGCCCAGGGTCAGCTCCCACTCGGGCATCCCCCATCCTGGGGGGGCTCAAACCCCAGCACCAGCCCCGGGGCTGAGGTGAGTTGCCCGGTCTCAGCCTGGCCCTGCAGCTGACGCCGCGATGGGGACATTTCCCGGCCCTCCTTGAGCCGAGGGACCTGCTGTGGGTCACCCCGAGCCATCGCCGCGTGTCCCTGTGTCACCCACCCGCGGGTACCGCTGTCTGTCCAGCAGCCCGAGCCTCTGTGACAGCCCACGGTGCCAGGTGCCACCGGTCTGGCCCTTTCCACCGGGGGCACAGGGCAGAGGGATGAGGGATGGATCCAGGGATCATCCACCCGGCCCCCCCTTTCTGCTGGTTTAGGGCAGCTGGAGCAGCGCCGAGGGGCGCTGGCTCTGGGGTGCTGCTGGAGCCCCAAATCCCCAGGAGGCACTTCCACAAGGATTGGGACCCCGAGATGGATGAGGGAGGTGACCTCAGCCTCTGTCCCTACCACGGGAGGGAAGCGGGTGCGGCTCCCCCCGACCCTCTCTGCAGCCCCACGACAGCCCCAAGCTGGGTTTGGGGGCGCTGGGAGGAACCCCATCATTGTGCAGATCGCCCGCTGTGCCCAGACCCCCTTAGTGGGACACCCAGCGCGGCACCGCGACACCTCCGGGGGCAGAAACTGAGGCAGGGACACGGCACCGATCCCGGCTGCCCGGCCCTGGGAGCGGCCGGCGGTGCCAGG